GCACAGAGCCCAGGAATAAGGAGGAAGATGGTCCCTCTCCAGTCTGGATCGAACTACATCTGGAAAAGCATGTTCCATCCTGAAAACACATTTTAGGAAGGCCATTGGTAAGCTAGAGATCATCCAGAAGATGGAGATCTTGCCATAGGAGGACTGATTGGAAGCACTGAGGATGCTTGGTATGAAGGAGAAGGACTTGGAAAGGACCTGACAGTTGCCTTCAGGGATTGGAAGGACCAGAGGGCAGAACTGAGCAATGGGTACATGAGGATGGGATGATTGAGTAAATCCATCAAGTCAGCTCACCCCACTTAAAATAAGGGATAAGATGATCACACAATCAATCAATCAATTGATCAACTGGGTATCAAGGCACAAGAATCTTGTTAAGAAGCTTGACAATGCATAATCAAGCTAGTTAAAACCAGAATCATGGCAGAGGTTGGAAGAAACATTTCTGAGGACTAATTACCTGGTGGGAAATTAGAGTTCTCGACTTTTGCCATTGCCTAGATCCATGGATCACCAGGGTTAGGACTCAACGGAATAACAGGTAGCCGCTAAAAGGGGCAGGCGCTAGATGGCGCCATAGCGCATAGAGTGCCAGGTCTGGAGTCAGGAAGACCTGAGTTCAAATGTGACCTCAAGATACTCACTAGCTGTGTGACCCTGGGCAAGCCACTTCACCCTGTTTGCCTCAGTTTCCTCATCTGTAAAATGAGCTAGAGAAGGAAATGGCAAACCACTCGGTATCTTTGCCAACAAAACCCCAAGCTGCTGCTGCTATTGGACCCATACAGATGTGTTTTCAAATCCGCTAGCATTTTTTATGAATGCTTTTTATGAAGGATTTCTGTGGTCCGTTATCATTCCAAAAACAATCGCTGGCACTGAAGGTTTGCGAAGTGCCTCAGGCACCATTTGAATCTCTCAGTGGGGTGGGTGCTACAGCCTTTGATATTCCTATTATACAGACCAGAAGACTGAGGCTGAGAAAGTTGAAGTGAGTTAGGCTCATAGATCAAAAGCTGGAAATGACCTCAGAGATGTTAAAGCCTGTCCTCCACCCACACTGCTGCCAGCAATACTCTTTAGTGTGTGAGAACCAGATTAAAATACAAAAATCCAATAGAACATGGATAACGTAACATGTGGTTTTATAAGTCAACATGCAGCCCCCTCTCCCCCCAGGATTCTTATGTATGGTGTAAGCATCCCATTTCTATTGAGCTTGAGACCTTTGATCCATGTCAACCCCATAGTTTTACAGATAAGGAAATCGGGGCCCCAGGAGTTTAAGTGACTTGCCCAAGGTCACACAGGCAGAATTTCTGGTCCTCTGACTTCTGAGTCAATGTTCACTTTCTTATACCATGCAAAGATAATTAAGTCTAATTCACTCATCTTACAGATGAGTAAGGTCTCTAAGGGTCAGCTAAGTGGTGCCATAGCACATATCGCACTGGGCCTGGAGTCAGAAAGACTCATCTTTGTGAGTTCAAATCCAGCCTCTGACACTCACTAGCTATGTGACTCTGGACAAGTCACTTAACCCTGTTTGCCTCAGTTTCCTCATTTGTTAAATTGGGACACACTGGAGAAGGCAATGGCTAACCACTCCAGTATCTCTGCCAAGAAAACTCCAAATGGGGTCACAGAGAGTCAGACATGACTGAAACAACAGAACAAGATCTCTAAGAGAAGCAAAATCTCCAAACTTGTGACATAATTGGTTCTTCAAGCTTGTAGAGCATAGAGCTAAATGCCACACTCCTGTACTTTTCCTACTGCCTTTATTTCCCGAATTGATGGCGTTTCACCCCCAGCTCTGACAATTACGTGACCTTGGGCTAACTCACTTCCCCTCTGGAGTCCTCAGTGTCCTGGATTGTAAAATGAGGAGGTTGGGCCAGACGGCCGCGAAGGTCCGTTTCAGCTCTAAAGCTGCCAATTGGAATGAAGGACTTGAGGAGAAATAAGAAAAAATACAAGCAAACAAACAGAAACTAAGATCGAAATAAGGTATTGGAGAATAATCCTTTGGAATGAGCTACCCATAAGTACTCCCACCTGCTGTGCGAATACTTTCTCTGTCTCACAGCAAGTTCTTTCAAAAGCAGGTACCAGCTTTAGCCAGTCTGAAAGTACAGTCTGGCCCCTCTGCCCGCACGATGTTCATCCTCAGAGAGGAAGGCACATGGTGGGGGAAAGGGCTCACGCGTGACCAGGCCTTTCTTCATTTAGCTTCCGCCCCGAAAAGGAGCTTGGACAGGTGTGGTCTGACCAGAGGTGAGCTCCAGGAGAAATCTGACAGCTCCAGGAGAAATTCGGAGTGGGATGGTTCTACTCCAGAGCAGGACCCTTCACATTCTTATCTTAAGGAACATTTTCTATTTAAAAACATTCATAGTTTCATTTCTTTCTTTCCTTTCCTCTTCTATACTCAGCCCAGTACAGTGAATAGAGCATTGGATTTGGAATGAGACAGAGCTGAGTTCAAATTCTGCCTCACACATTCACTAGCTGTTTGACCCTAGGCAAGCCACTTAGCCTCAGTTTCCTCAACTGTAAAATGAGGATGAGAATAACGCTGCACCTGCTGCTTGTGGTGAAAATCAAATGAGGTAAAATACATAAAGAGCTTTGCAAACATTAGGGCGCTGTATTAAATGTCAACTCTTCTTACCAGGTTTGTGTCTGAGCGAATCATGGCACCTCTTAGAGCCTCATCAATAAAACAGAGGAAACACTGACTGATGGGAGACCATATGAGTACCTTAAATGAGCAGTGTTAGAATAACGCATCTCTCTTTCTAGACTGCTCAGGGTTTTGCTCTCCTACTAACCCTTTGAGGACATTTGCTAAGCACCCCATCTGTTCATCTGTTAAACTTCATTCTTAGGGGCAGCTAGGTGGTGCAGTGGATTGAGCACCAGCCCTGAAGTCAGGAGTACCTGAATTCAAATCCGGCCTCAGATCAAACACTTAAACACTTACTAGCTGTGTGACTCTAGGCAAGTCACTTAACCCCAATTGCCTAAAAATAAAAAAAAAATTAAAAAGTTTTAAACTTCATTCTTAGCGCATGGTGGAGACCGCTTGGTAATTTTTTTTTTCAGTCCCTGGTAACTCATGGAAAACATACAGAGGGTTAAAATGCTGACATTTTTTTTTCATTTTCCCTATTTCTTTTTTATCCAGGTCCAGCCATCCCCAGAGTCTGCCCTTCTTTCTCTCACGTGTTTCCATCCCAGTAGGATGCTTTCTAAGCTAGTCTTGGTCATCTGAACATCGTTATTTCTTTTTTTTGACTGACCTTGTGATTTCATTACTACATGGAACTCCTGAAAGGGAAAAAACAAAAAACAAACAAAAAACCCACCTCTCTCTACCAATACAGATCAACACCTATTGGCAATTTACAACCTAAGAGAGTAGCTTAGGGCCACTGAGAGGTAAATAAACATTGTTGGGAGTCAATCAGCCAGTATGTGTCAGAGGTCTTAGAATGGACTTCTCAATCTTTACTCGCTGCACCAGGCAAACGTGTTCCTTTCTAAACTACAAGCTACTCATATTGTCTCTCCACTGGCCAATCTTTCTTCTAGTTTATTTTTTCCAGTCCAGCAAAAATCATCCTTACGCTCGGGTCCTTTTTTGGTTGGAGAAGGCACTGGCAAATCGTTGTTTGCTAAGAAAAGGGGGTCGTGGAGAGTCAGTACGACTGAGAGCAGCTCAGCAACAGCAACCACAAGTCTGGTCCTTTGCTTGTTTTATTCTCTCCCCAAAGTACAGAACGACAGGGGGGGAGGCATCAGAGGCCATGCATTCCCCTCCATCCTGAATAAGAATCTCCCCTGGTCCATCTCAAATGAGTGGTCACCTAGCCTTTGGTCAAAGACCTCCAGGGTGGGGGGAATTTACTGCTTCCCGGAGCAGCCCGTGCCGTGCTCAGGAGCCCCATATCATGAGGGGGTTTCCCCTTACATTTAGCCCAAATCTGCCTTCCTGCAGTTTCTGGCCAAGTCAACCAAATGAAATAGCTCTTCTAAGATTGTCTTTAGAAGGGGAATGGAAGTCCACAAGCGTTGCAAACTTCGCTAGCTCCTCAGATTGCTGCCGGTAGGGATGTGCAAAGTCACTGTTTGGAGAAAACTAGAAAGGACAAATATCTCCCCCAAATCCAGGCTGTCGGCCCTTCCCACTCTAAGCTCTGTGACTTCATCCGGCAACCCACAGTACAAAGCCTACGTACACCTGACACCTGCCTTTCCAGAACCCACGGCTGCCATCATGTTCCTCCCTTCCCCTTCCCCTTCCCAAGTCTTTCATTCTCCAGGCTACACATCACATGAAGATTCTTTTCATCAATTGTTCCTCATGTGACATGTGAGCTCATCATCTTGTTGACCCTCCTCTGGACACTGTTCAATTTGTTGATGTCCTTTCTAAATGTCGCTACATCGTCCAGGACTGAACATAAGCCTCCAGTTGTGTCCTTGCCACAGGACCGAGGGCAGCAGGACTCTTCCTTCCCAGACCTGGATACTATGTCCTTCTTACTTAGCAGCCTATGATCCTGCTAAGTTTTGCAGAAACAGACAGGTTTTCCTGTTTTAAAGACTTCCTGGGAAAGAAAGTGGTATTCCTGTGGTACACTGGAAATTCAATCGTCCAAGTTGTCAACAAACAATTATTAACTGCCTACACTGTGCTAACTGCTGGGACCACAAACACAAAAATGAACTTTGCCCTCAAGGTCCTTACATTGTGCTCATCTGGATACAGATGGATTCTCTCTCTCTCTTTTTCTCTTTCTGTCTCTCTGTCTCTCTGTGTGTGTGTCTTCCTTTTTTTTCAAAATGGGGAATATAAAAAGCACTTGAAAACCACAAAGGGTTATTTCTCCCTATATATGCATATAGAGAGAGAAGGAGGGAGGGAGGGAAGGAGGGAGGGAGGGAGGGAGAGAGAGAGAGAGAGAGAGAGAGAGAGAGAGAGAGAGAGAGAGAGAGAGAGAGAGAGAGAGCGCAGTAACCACTGAAGGTATCAGGCAAAGAGTCCTCTGAGCTCTGTTATGACGAAAGATTCTCAGGCAGATATAAGGAGAAAGAATATGGAAACCACTTGGACAAAGGCATGCAGGAAGGAAATTGAACGTCAGGTCGGAGAACAGCTGGCAGGCCTGCTTGGATGGAACTGTGAGTAAATGAAGAGAAGCAAAATTAAATAAGATTGGAAAGGTATGTGGGAAGTTTACTGTGAAGAGCCTCAAATTCCAGGCTGAAGATTTTAAATGTTGTCCTAGCAACAATACAGAGCCATATAAATACATATACAGTATATATATATGTATGTGTATGTGTATGTGTGTGTGTGTGTGTGTGTGTGTGTGTGTGTGTGTGTGTGTGAAGGAAGGGTGGTATGAGTGAGGCATGGTTTGATGGCAAAGATATATGTTTTATGAATATCAGAGAAAACTTGTTTTGGAGCCAGATGATCTGGGGTCAAATTCTGATATTTACTTGTTGAATGATAAATCACTTTCTTCTGCCTGGGGTTCAGTTCTTTTATCTATAAAGTGAGAGTTCTATCCATTGACCTGTAGGGTCGCTTCCAGCTCAATAATGGGGTGTAGACATCTTCAATGACATTCAAAATGATTAATTTCTTATTGCTGCCTTGAATATTCAGATGTACCCTTGGGAATTTGATGAGAGGACTTTGCGAAGGAAAACTGAGGGGCATCATTTGCAAAGACTTAGTTGGTATCAAGGCGTAGCTTCTAAGTAGAACAGATGGTTCTTTTCATCCTCAGACTTGCAAAGCATTAATAATACTAGATCAATTTATATTCATGTTTATTCCTACCCACCCCCACAAGGATCTCAAAGCACCATTTTACCCATCCTGATACCTTTCCAGTGAGGCATAGATAGTACATGAAGTATCAGAGGAGTGTCCTGGCCACACATCAGGCCTCCTCCAACCCAAAACTAGTTAACTGCCAATAAAAACCACTTGTTTTGATTTTTGTGGGTTTTTTTTTTCCCCTGTAGTTTAAATATGATAACCAAACTTCTTTTCCAAGAGGCTGGGGTGACTTACCTTTGGCTCAGCTGTCCTGGGAGAGTTGCTAGGTCTGATGAAATGTGTTCCCTTTTACCAAAAGATTAAGAATCTTATCTCTGTTTTCTGAGGTCTGCTCAGCTATTCCTGAAACCAGAGATCAAAGAGGGGATATCATCTGGATCGATTGGAAGACATTCCAGAAAGTCAAACGCCCAGGATTTGCCATTTGAAAGTGAATCCCCCAAACAGCCCCCTCTTCACTCAACATTTGGAAACCATGACCTGAGGAATATCTTGTATTTGCAAGTAGCCTTCCATGTCTATGTAAGGCTTTTTTATAACAAGATTTTGTCTATCAACTAATTCATATTTTAGGTGCCTAGATTGCTATGTGCCAGGCACTGTGCTAAGGTAGCTGGGACTGTTTGTGTAGCCATTGGGGAGGGTAAGTGGGGGACCTTTATAAAGTTTTAAGAACACTCAGCAGTGGGGGAGGGAAGTGTCTTGTATTCTGGGTCCCCTGATTCATAACTTTTTTTTTTTAATTGGAGGAATTGGGGAAGTAGGAAATTCCTTCTATTGAAGCTACTCCTCTGTAAAGTCTTATCTTAGAGCATTCCCTGGAGGCATAAAGAGGTTAAGTGATTTGTCCTTCCTCAGCAGCTGGTATGAGTTGGAGAGAGGCCTTGTTATGGCATATGACAGTCATTAGGATCTGTGATTTCAGCAGTGTTGAGAATGCCTCGTGGTGAGGCATCTTTTTACCAATGAAGACCCACACCATTGATGCAACCTACAGAGCCCAATGTTTGGGGTTAAGTGGTAGGACTTGAACCCAAGTCTTCTTAGCTCCAAGGTCAACTCTCTACCTGTTACTCCCTGCTACCTCTCATCAATTATGGAGTTAAAAATGGAAACCGCTGTGACCAGTTTATAATACCCAGAATTTTCTAACGTGGAACCATCAGGAGGGGAGCATGGACAAGGGGAGAGCCTGAGATACTGGGAGACAAAAAGATTAGATTAACAGAGAATTATAGAGGGTAGGAGAAAGGTTAAGTGAGAGTGAGGAAGAGGTTTAAATCTGAAGGTTTAAACAAGCATTGGGTCACAGTGAGAGTATAGAGTACTGGACTTAAGAGTTAGGAAGACCTGAGTTCAAATCTAACTTCAGACACTTACTTGCTGTGTGACCCTGAGCAAGTCACTTAACATTCCACCATTTCTTCACCTCCAATAGCATCTACCTCCCAGAGTTGTCACAAAAATCAAATGAGATAATATGTGTCAAGCACTTTGCAAACCTTAAAATGGCACACAAATGCTAGCTATTATTACTATATGCCACTCTGGGGACTTTTTAAAAGCATTTTGTGAACTCAGCAACTGAATTTTTAAAGATTCACTCACTATAGTAAATATTCAGTCAGGCACAGGCCCTGTCTTTGTTTCATGTATCACTTGCAAACCAAAACTGAGTAGATGAGAGGCAGGTAGGTGACACAGTGGATAGAGTACCAGCCTTGGAGTCAGAAGGACCTGAATTCAAATCCAGCCTCAGACACATAACACTTACTAGCTGTGTGACTCTGGGCAAGTCACTTAAACCCGATTGCCTCACCAAAAAACAAACAAACAAATAAAAATGGGTAGATGAATAGAAATGTGGCAAAGAGGAACTGAGACCTAAAGGTCCAGGGTTAAAATTCTACCTTTGAAGCTTGAGGCATATATGATTTTGAGTAATTATATCTCTCCAGACCTCAGTTAGCTCATCTCTAATAGTTACCCCAATGTCTCTTCTCTTTCTAGGTCTGTGGTTCTCCGATCCAGTTTTACCCCATACATCTGTAAGCCTGCTCACAAGAAGTCTCCTACATGGCATCCAAAGACGCCCACTGTGGACGCATACCCTCTCACACACAAATACACTCAACCACACACACACACACTCTGAAACTCACACACACACTCATGCACATATACACTCAAACACACTCATACATACACACTGAAACTCACACACTCATGCACACACACACATTCAAACTCTTTCTCTCTCTCTCTCTCTCTCTCTCTCTCTCTCTCTCACACACACACACACACACACACACACACACACGCACAACTTTGCAGTGGCAAAGCCACTCTATTAAGAAAACTCATGAAACCCTAAGGATCCCCCAATTTTCTTTGAACTTCTCGGTGGGGGCAAGTGGATGGCTGATCTTTTCTTTTCTTCCAGAAATGGGTCCCACAGCGGTAACCAAACTATACCTGACACATCTCGAAATGACCTTCTCTAAAACTGCAAATTTAGCAGGTCTCAGGTTTCCTAGCTTTTTCTGCAGCCCCTTACCTAAAGGTCCAGGATGGAAAGAAGATGGCCCATAATCCTTCTATTGTTTGGGGTGAAGAGGAGTAGTGGGGAGGGGCCAAGGCATTCAGTTTCTAATTGAATCCCCTTGGAACTCTCCCCAACCACCTTCTCTCTTCTACTAAACACCAATAAGGGCTGAGAGGAGAAAAGGGTGAAGCGGTCTGATTTTAGAAAGTGACAATCTTTCAAAAAAAATGGCGTAGGGGTGAGAGATTAACTTGTGCAAGTCAAAAGTATAATTTGGGCTCAGTGGCTGACTGGGAGCTTCGGTCTTTTTCTCTTCTAGGGCCTGAAGAAATGGGAGGCGACGACTATTAAGATCTAGGGCTGGAGGGAAGAAACAGTGCTAGAGCGGAGCTGAATCGAGCCTCCTCTGGGCAGGGGTCCTCTCAGGCAGCCCGGGGACTCTTTGACTGCTTCCTTGTCAGTTACCGCAGTCAGGCAGAGCTTTGCTTGGACGTTTCTGTCACTTTCTCTTGAGGGTTTCATGAACTTCAAAAATCCGAAAGCTCCCCCCGGCCCTCCCCAGAAGCTGATTTATCTTTCATGTATTGGTTGCATTTCCTTCCTCAATCACTAATTACAGCAGATTAATGTTTTCAAACAGGGTCTTTTCTCCATTTAATCCATCTCCCCTTCCTGACTCTTTGGAGCAAGCAGGAAACATACTGAAAGAGGTCATAATCCTTTTGTTTGCCTCAGTCCCCTTTTAGGACATCAGGGATGTTTAGAAAGGAGCAGCTCAGGGAGAGAGAGGAGAAAGTAAAGATCCTGAAAGAAATATGAGTCCGCATCTTTCGCGGGTGAGGGAGCGGTCTTCCCTGCCCTGGACTGGTTTTCAAAGGAGCTAACTAAGGAATCAAGAATACTGAGAAGAAAGAAGTACCAACCACCCAAGATCATTCTAAACAAGACCAGAATTGGATTTGGAGCGGCTTTGTTTTTTTATGATACACATTTCCTGTTACTACCACTCAAACTCCCTAAAAAGGGATAAAGAGACTTTATGTTTTGATTTAGCCACTGTGGACACTTTGGTTCCCTTTGTTGACCAATGAGAAATAAACTAGGCACCTCAAATATTTGTGTCGTATGCAATGGGGGCGTCTTCAAGCTATTTACATTCTTAATGTAACTTTAATGATCTTTAATAAGATTTGCACATCAATTTAAAAGACATTATAGTAATTAACTTAACTCTGAACTTCCTGCGAATTGTGTATTGAAAGGGTTTGACTTAAACGCTGAATTAACATTTGGGCGTTGGGCAAAATTTAAATTCCGAACATCAAAGTTTAGAGAAGACACCAGATGTTTGGAGATTACGGTCTATTCTGGGTCTAGCCCAAATTTAAAGGGGAGTTCAGAAACTTGAATTTTGTTCCTGGTGTAATGACCTACCTTTAGTTCCATGGATTGTTTATTTGTATTTGCTGTGGATGGCATATTTATAATAATGCTATTAAGTTAATAGCCCTCAAAGAAAAAAAAACTCATAAGAATTAGCCTCGTATGCAGTATGCATGAGGCATAATCAGTAAATATATTTTGATGATGGATTTCACAAGAAAGATTTCAGGTATAATATCTGTTTTGCTTTTTTGTTTCAACTAAGCTTTCTCTTTTCCATTTGTAGCAAGAGGAGAAAATTGAAAATTTTAGAAATTCCACTTTCATGCTGTGTGTCTGAAAAAAAAGACTCAAGGTCCTGTCTCCTATTTATTGTATTTAATACAATGATTTAATAGATTTCAGATGAACTGTTTTGAGTTATTTTCCATGAAAAAATGGAGTAAATATCTTAATATCAGTAGGTTTTAAAAATAAAATATGTTATACCAGGAGATCTTTAAATATATGCTTTAAAGGAAGTCTGTGGATAGCTTTTGCATCTGAACAGGGAAAAGTACTAATTTCCTCTAACTTTTATTTTCTGTGCCCACCCCCAATTAGGATAACACTTGAAATCCCATGAAATTCTACACAATTTGGAACCAGAAATTATGACTTTTAAAACATATTCAAATTTTACTTCTACTGATATTTCTCTTGCTTTCATAGACTATAGGATTTAGAGCAGGAAAGAATCTCAACAGTCTAACCACATAATTTTACAATGCAGTAAAGTGAGTCTTGTAGAAATGAAATAATTTGCTCCAAGTCACACAAGGAGTTAAATTGCAGAACCAGGACTGTGTCCAGGTCTTCTGATGCCACATCCAGTTATTTTCATACTAATCTATGATGTTTCCCTTAAAGTCTTCAGAGTAAGAAAAGCTACTAAGATTTAATCCAATTCCTCAAAGTGCCAGAAAATCAAGAATGTGAAGAACATTAGCCATTATAACAATGTAATTTGTTAGTCATACTGGTCTGGAGAAAAAATGACCATATGGCCACTTAAATATATATGTGTGTGTATATATATATATATATATATATATGTGTGTGTGTGTGTGTGTGTGTGTGTGTGTGTGTGTGTGTATGTATATTTGTATATGTGTATATTGACACATACATGTATATATATATGTATATATACACACATATGGGCAGAGAGAGAGAGAGAGAGAGAGAGAGAGAGAGAGAGAGAGAGAGAGAATCCACTTCCAAAAATGCAATAAATAATTTTTTTTGCGGTTAGAAATGTTTCCCATTCAAAGTATGGGGGAAAGGTGAGAATAGAATTGATCCCTCTTCCAAGAAATTGATCTGAGCCCTAGCTGGGAAGTTTGATAGAGTAGACCCCCGGAATATTAGAAAGGGCAGAGACCTTAGAGGTCATTTATAAATGTAGCCTTAGAATATAATGGGATCTGAAAGAGGCAGAATCCCATTGCTGGCTTTTCCTGATTCTGTGGTCCACCAAGAATCTGAGGATTTCTTCTCATGGACTGACAATAATCCAGGTCTTGATTTTTTTTAAAAAAAATATCTGCATGTAGGAATTTGACTTTATGTCTATTAAGCTCCATCCTGTTGGCATTGGTCCAGGGTCATGGTTTGTTGAGGTGTAATTTGGGGGGTCATTCTGGTAGCTTCTTACTGTAATAATTTAGTGAATCTGTGTTCTCACCAATGTTGATACTTCCTCCACCGGTGCCGATGGCAACCTGTCCATGCCTTCCCATCATGCACAGTTCTTGTCCATATTCATCCATAAAACCTCTTTAGAGGATGCACTAAATGTGCTGTAAGCTGTCATGAGGTGTTTCAATATCTAGGGGCATTATATCAACGCTGCTTGTGGTGTCAATGCTAACCCTTGCTCTCAATATGTGATCACCTCACCCCCTTCTCCTGTGTTTATCTGTGTGTGGATTATTTTGTCGAATCCAAGTTGGTGGAGGGCAAGGAATGGATTGTTTTGTCTTTGAAGGAAGTATCAAATGCTTATCAAATTCTTTGGATTGAATTGAATGAATGATGTCTTTTATGTCACTTAGGTTCATATACTAATTGATTTAGATTCAGAATGTACCTTAGACACATCAAGTCCAACTCCCTTATTTTACAGATGAGGAAACTAAGACTTAGAAGGGATAAGTGACTTGCCCAAAGTCACATGGATAGTGGCCCTGGGAATCAAATCCAGACCCTCTAACTACAAATTCAGCTGTTGGGGGCAGCTAGGTGGCATAGTGGACAAAGTCAGGAGGATCTGAGTTCAAATCGGCCTCAGACATTTGACACTTACTAGCTGTGTGACCCTGGGCAAGTCACTTAACCCCATTGCCTAGCTCCCACAAAAAAAGAAAAAGAAAAAGAAAAAAAGAAAATCCAACTGTCTTTCCACTGAACCACACAACTTTAATTTCTTCTATCTCACACTTATCCACAGCCTCCTCGGATAGGAGTAGATATCCTCAGATTTGTTATCATCAGAAAATTTGATACATATATCTGCTCTGTGCTGGTGAAAATCATTGGTTAGAACTTGAATACACAGCCATAGACAGAGCCCTATGGCACACTACTCAAGACAGCCCCTCTAGGTTGACACTGATCCATTAATCGAACCTTTTCTAGAGTAATTGTTCTCCTGGCTCTGAGTCTACCCAGCCACATTATCACATGGTTCACATGGCCAGTGAAGTACAGCCACTTTCTGGAGATTGGTGGCAGAGTAAGAGGAGGAGGGCTGACCCAGCTAGGTAAATGGATTCTAGTGGTGTTCCCTTCCTTCTTTATTAGGCAGGAACGTGTCGAATAAAGGCAGGTCAGGGGAGTGTGTCCTTCTATGCAAGACAAGGCGGGAAATCTGCCCCTAGTGACTTTAGTCATGTCCAAGGGCTCTAAGCCAAGTTGCTCTGGCCTTGTTTTCATCTTGTATATGTACTCAAATAAACAAACAAACCTGAGGTAGCTGGTGAGTTCCTTGTGAAACCACTTTTGTTTCTTTCTGTAACTTCCACTTCCTCCTTACCAGAATCATATGCTCCCTATATAGAGTAAAATAATGAACGAATGAAGGTCTTTGGGGGTGTTTTTAATATACATTTTTTCCCCAAATCTTTGCTCAGTCTAAACTTTTAAACGTTAATCTTACCAGTCAACATCTCCCTTAAGGGAAGAAGCATTTTATCAAGCACC